GTGCGGGGGGGTCCTTGAACATGGCCGTCACAGTGAAAGGGCGACCCTCCATCTCCTGCATGTGATCGTTCCGCGTGAGCTCGAACTCCAGAGCTGCGACGGGCTCGCTGCGCAGGTGGACGTTCAGGTTCTGCTCCAGGAAGTGCGAGCCGCGATTGCCCTGCGAGGTCTTGGTGCTCTTGTCCACGACCTGAGGATCACCCTCGTGGCCACCCTCGCCCCGGAGCCCCCCCCCTTACGCTTGAACTCCTCGGCGCTGGCAAGGCCTGGCGCGAATGGGGCGCCATGCCGTGGCCCCGTTTGAGCGCGCCCCGGCCTAGACCCCGTGCCCCAGACTCGCGCTCAAACCACCCCGAACCCCGAGTTGCCACAAAACTCTCGGCAAACACCAAGACCTGCAGCACCCCTGGTGCCGCCGGCAAGTTCGCCTTGAACTTCTCCCGGGTCAGCGGGCGCTGAGGATGGAGCTCCGCCGTGCCCTCTCTGGACTGCTCGGGGCACCTGTAGCGCTGCGCCATTTTGCGCGAGCCCTGGCATTCCCCCTCTGCACCTGGGGCCGGCAAAGCCCGGCCCTGGGACAGCGGCGGCGCGGCCGGGGCATGTTCGAGCACGCGGGCGGCGCCGGCCACGGGGGCGGCGCGGGCCGAAGGTTCGGGCGAACCGCGATTGGTATGCCGGTTTTGCCTGGGCAACTGGCTGCGGTCCGATGGCAGCGACGGCGGCGCAGCGTGCAGCGCGGCATGGCGATGCGCCTTTCGATATGCAGTTGGATTTGCATATCGATGTGCATTTCGATGTGCTCTTCGATCTGCATGTCGACGCACATTGAAAAGCTCGCCGCGGCGCCCGCGGCGCCTTGCGATTTGCATTTGGATGTGCAAATCGATTTGCATCTCGATGTGCTTTTCGGTCTGCATGTCGGTCTGCATGCAGACTTGCATTGGATAGCTCGCTGCAAGCGGCGACGTCTCGAAATGCGCGACCCACGGCGGGGCACCGCGGGCCGCCGTTTGACGGGGGGGGCATCATTCGGTCCGGCCGCGGTCCAGCCACAGGAGGAATTCGGGGCACCGGCGGGGCGCCGGCAGGGCGCCGCGCGTCGCCGGCCGCCGGAGGAGAAACGTCTGGTCCGGCCGCGGCCCAGCCGCAGGAGGAGTTCGGGGCGCCAGAGGGGCGCTGGCGGGGCGCGCCGCGGGCCGCCGGCCGCCGGGGGAGAAAAGTCTGGACCGGCCGCGGCTCGGGACACCAGCGGGGCACTGGCGGGGCACCGCGGGCCACCGGCCGCCGGAGGAGAAACATTCGGTCCGGCCGCGGCCCAGCCGCAGGAGGATTTCCTTTCGCCCGCCCGCGCAGCTTCGCCTCGCCCGCGCGGGCGCGGCACGCGCGACACGAACCCGAAACTGAAATCGATTTCCTGGTAGGGGGGGTCTCCGTTTCACGTCGGACTCACCCCCCGATTCCCGACCTCCGATGTTCGGGGCGGACGTGCGCCTCCAAGGAGAGCATATAGTGCTAGCATGTCTGTGTGCGTTCCACTCTCTGCTTCCACCGCCGTCGCCGCCGCCGCCACCTGATGGGTGCTGCTGCGGCCCTTCGAGTGGCGCCCTCTCCGGCCCCTTCCGGCGGCGCGGCCCGGGGCCCTGCGGGGGGTGCTGCGGGCCGCAACTGGCGGCCCTCGAGGCCGCCTCGTGAGCCAGCTCCTGGGCGCGGCCGCTGGGCTCGTTGATAGGCGCCGTTGGGCTCCTCCCTCGAAGAAGAAAAACGGCATCTGGGCGCTCCGCGCGGATTTCTCGGACCCGCGCTGGGCCCTTTTGGCGGCGGCGCGCCGGGGGGGGGTCCGGCGCGGGTCCAATGAATTCGAGCGAGACGCCAAAAGTTTATGTTCATGCCGTTTTCTCTTCTTCGCTGACCTTTCTCTCCCAGCGCTGCCTTTGCCCCCTCCTCAGTGCTGGCTTTTTCACTTCTGTCCACCTGCCGCCGCTCCCCTGGCTCGCGTCTCCTTCGACGGGAGTGCCCCGCGCCGTCCTCGGTGTCTCTTTCTGCTCTCTCCCCGCTGTGCCTCGCGCGTTTGCTTTCTTCGGCTGCATCTACCTCCGCGCTTCTTGGTCCACGCGTGCCTCGCTCCCGCATTTTGCGCTGCCGCGGCGCGCCCCCGCCTGGCCATCCACGCCCGGATGCGCTGCGTGGCGCGCCTCCTCCTTTCGCGCCAAGCCCCGTCGGGCAGGGCTTTCCTGGCTGGCGTGTCACCTCCTGCCATCCACGCCAGGGCGTGCTGTATGGCGGTGGATGCTGTGGGTTCTAAGGCGGCTCGTGAGGTCCCAGTCGCGACCCCGCGCTTAGTGCTCTTGCCGTCTCCGCCTTGCCGCCGCGCGTGGGGCCGCTTCCGCCAGACAAGTGTGTGTGTGTGTGTGTGTGTGTGCGTGTATGTGTGTGTCGCCCATCCTCGAGGCAGCTGTAACTCGCGCGCTCTTCTGAGCGCGTGTCCGCCGCCTCTCTCCCTGTCGGTCTCCGCTGTGCCTCCCTGGTTGGCACTCTGTCGTCGCCCCGCGTTGGTGGTGGGCTCCCCCCCGGGGCCGTCGGCTCATTTCGTCGCTCGTTCATTCTCGCCCTGGCCACCCGCGCCCGGGTGGCCAATGGTGTGGCCTCGTTTCTGAGGCTGGCGCGTGCGGGGCCCCGTTCGCGGTTCTCTATTTACTCCGCCTCGTCGTTGCGCGCGAGGCGTGACCGCCAAACGCGGGCGCGCGCGCCCTCGCGCGCGCGTGCACGCACGCGCGCGCGCGCGCCCACATCCACACCAACACCAACACCAACGCCCACGCGCACGCACACGCGCGCGCGCGCACGAACGCCCGCGCGCCAGCGCGCGCGTACGCACGCGTGCTCACGCGCTGGCACGCACGCACGCGCGCGCGCACACGCACCCGCGCGCGCACACGCACACGCACGCGCGCGCGTACACGCACGCGCGCGCACGCGCACGCGCACGCGCGCGCGCGCGAACGCGCTTGCACGCGCGCGCGAGCGCACACGCGCGCGCACGTGCACGCGCGCATGCGCGCGTGCACGCGCGGACAACTGCGCGCGCGCACACGCGCGCGCACGCGCGCACTAACGAGCTCGCGAGCACGCACGCGCGCGCACGCGCGCACACTGCACACACACACGCACACACGCTCACGCGCGCACACACGCACACGCGCAGCACGCACGCGCGCGCACGCGCGCACACACGCACGCACGCACACACGCACACACGCACGCGCGCACACACGCACGCACACGCACACGCTTACACACGCACACACACACGCACACACGCTCACGCGCGCACACGCACACGCGCACACACGCGCACGTGTGCACATGTGCACACGTGCACACGCACGCGCACACACGCACACGCTCACATGCACACTCACGCACGCACGCACGCACGCACATACGCACACACGCACACGCGCACACACGCACACACGCACGCACGCACGCACGCACGCGCGCACACGCACACACGCGCACACGCGCGCACGCGCACACATACACAAACGTACACGCACGCGCACACGTTCACATGCACACTCACGCACGCACGCGCGCACCCACCCACGCACGCACGCACGCACGCACGCGCGCACGCACGCACGCACGCACGCACACACGCATACACGCACACACACACACGCATACACGCACACATGCACACACGCACACACGCACACTCACACACGCGCGCACGCGCGCACACGCGCACACGCGCACACACACACACGCACACACCCACACGTACACGCACACACGTACACACGCACACACGCACACATGCACACACGCACACACGCACACACGCACACACGCACACACGCACACACGCACATACGCACACACGCACACACGCACATACGCACACACGCACACACGCACACGCACACATGCACACACGCACACACGCACACACGCACACACGCTCACCTGCACACGCGCACGAGCACTCACGCTTACACGCACACACGCACACACGCACACACGCACACACGCACAGCACACACATATACCCACACATGCAGACACATATCTGGCGGCTGGACGCACGCGCATCTTGTTTTTTGCGCTATTATTTGCCGTGTCGCTGCGCGCGAGGGCGCGGCGGCAAAGAGTGTGTGTGTGGTTGTGTGTGCGGATTCAGGCGCTCGGCTTCGCTGTAATTTACAACGATTGTGGCTTCGGGAGCGCGAATTTGTTATAGTTTACGGGGGTCGCTGCCTCGGGGAAATGTATCTGATATATTTTGATGTGCCCGCGGGCAACTCAAAACAACCGGGGAACACCGCTATGGGGTGGGAGCCAGGCGTCGATCACTACAACTATGTAAATCAAAACGTGTAGCATCTACAGTTATTACATCGGGAATTGGAGTTGTCGCGGGCACAGGAACACCCCCGCGTCGCAGCCTCTTGGCCGCCCCCCCATGGGGTCTGGCGGATGGGAGAGAGGAGCGTCGTATCTACATTGGGTTTTGATTTGTGGAAGGGGACGGGGGGAGAAGGAGGAAGAGGAGGAGCAGGAACAGGAGCAGTGAACAACATATATGTGTATGTATTTGCACATGCATACCTGCACGTATCTATCTTCTATATGTTTGTATGTAGGCATATATATGTATATATATATGTATGTATGTATGTATGTATGTATGTATGTATGTATGTATGTATGTATGTATGTATGTATGTATGTATGTATGTATGTATGTATGTATGTATGTATGTATGTATGTATATATAGAGAGAGAAATAGAGAGAGAGAGAGAAAGATAGAGAGAGAGAGAGAGAGAGAGAGAGAGAAAGAGAGAGAGAGAGAGAGAGGATAGAGAGAGAGAGAGGGAGAGAGAGAGGAGAGAGGGAGGGAGAGAGAGAGAGAGAGAGAGAGAAGAGAGAGAGAGAGAGAGAAACATAGAACGAGAGAGAGAAAGAGAGGACAACCTCCCGCATTCCCCCGGGCAGTCAGCGGCTGGCTGCTGGAGTGCTGTCTGGCTTCGCGTCTGCGCTCGCACAGTCGCCCATGCAGCTTGTGGAGATCAACCAGCAGGATTCCCTTTTTTACCAGAGGCTGGGAGTGAGGGGGGAACGAGGACGACGGCGCGGGGAGGGAGGGTGGGCAGAGCATGGGGAGGGGAGGGGAGGGGAAGGGAGGAGAGGGGGTGGGAGAGCAGTGGAATTCAAGTGGATGGGGGAGGAGGGTAGGGAATGAGGGGGAACAAGGACGACGGCGCGGAAAGGGAGGGTTAGGAGAGCGTGGAGAGGTGAGGGGAGGGGAGGGCATGGGAGGAGAGGGGGCGTGAGGGCTGTGGAAGTCAAGTTGAGGGGTAATGGAGAGGGAATAAGGGGAGGAGTTGGGAGGGGAGGGCAGGAGAGGGAAGGCTTGCTCTCTTTCCGTTCTCCTACTTCCACCCCTTTATTCCTCCTACCTTCTCCCGACTCCCCCCTTACCCGGCCCCCCTCCTCCCTCACCAACCTCCTCTCTCTTCCTATTTTTTTTCTCCCCACAGTGCCGCCAACTTACGTAAACAGATGGTGCCTGTCCACAGAACCACGGATTCAGCATGGTGGCCACTGCCAGGCGCGTCGTGGAAGCGCATGGCTTCCGCGGGCTGTACGCTGGCTACCCCATGACAGCCATACGAGAAGGCCGCGTTGCGCTGAAGCCTTGCCCGCGTGGCCCTTGCGGAAGGACGGGACGGAGGGGGAGGGAGGGAGGGAGGAAGCGAGTGCCAGTGGACGGATCCGGTCGCATGCGACCGAGGGGAGGGAGGGAACAGAAGCCAGCACGGCTCGCTGGGGTTGGAGGCGCGGTGTGGTGGGGCGCGACGCAGAAGGGGCCCGGGGAGTAGAGACCGAGACTGCGATGACAGTGAATAGCCTGTTCCCTCTCCTCTGTTGCCTTCTTCCTCCTCCATCGCTTCACCTCCTTCAGGAGGAGAAGAAACACACAGACACAATGAATCGTCGATTCCCCAGAAAATATGGGAAACTATGGAAAGTGGGGGGGAAGACAAGAAACCCCAAAAATATAGGAAAATATGGGGGATATTTCTATTTGTGTGCATTTATTTGTGTGTCCTGGGGCCCCTTCACTCCTCCCCAGCGACCACTCCGATCAAAACAGATCCCTAGACCCTTCCTTACCTGGAACCGCCCTGATTTGTTTTCGAAGCCCTGTCAACCCGTGGCGGCAGTGGCGACGGGGGGGGTTCAGACTGCCCGTAGGAGGAGGAAGAACAGGCGGACCAGTGTAAACCCAAGACCCATGAACAACAACAACAACAGAGAGCCGCGCCCAGACGGCGCATCGGCAGGAAATGTGCACATGCATAAGTGGAAAATGTCACTGGGCCTCGGCCGGCAACCACTTGCAAGCTTTGCGCAAATGGCGCGCGAGGGTAAGCAGCAACACTCCGTCTGAAGAGGGTGGGGGGGGCGGGGAGGGGACAGGGAGGAGGGAGGCGAATGAGCAGAGCGAGGGAACTCATCGCAGTCACACTGACTGTTTACAATACTCTTTAACAGCTGCATCCCATTCCCTTGGAGGAGAATTCAATAAAATCTGCAGGCGGTCGGGGTCGTCTCCTGCGACTCTCAGCGCGCGGGCGTGCATGTAACTGGTCCATTGCAAGCGCGGTCTGCCTCGATTCTTCAGGGACCGCCATTCCCGCGGCATTAGGGAGTGCGCCTCGCTTGGCTGGAACACCATTGCTTTCGGCAACGATTGCGAAGGTGCCCTTGCCAATTTACCGTAATATTTAAGCTGCCTCTTCAATAGTATAGTTGACAATGGAGGAGATTCTGCTTCAAGCAGGACACGTTGATTGCTGAAGAAAGATAGGAATGCCGGTTGGATCTTCAGTACTCTGCGGTAGCATTTGGCTTGAAATCCATCCAGTCTGTTCTTGTCTGCTTGCAATAATACACAAGATTCCAATCCGTACAATAATTTGGAGAAGACGCAGGCTTGCAGTACTCGTAGCTTGTGCTGCTTGGTCATGTTTGCGTGGTTCCACACAGCACATAATTTGTCCAATGCTCCTTTTGCTTCTCCGAGGCGGCGCGTTATTTCAGCCTTGGGCCGACCATCTGCGCTTAAGAGGCCACCAAGATAAACAACGTCGTCTTTAGATTGGATTTCTTCTCCATTCGGCCCCAAAACCGTAGCATCCGATCTGATTTTCAATCATAATGTTTTGCCAGCGTTCAGGTCGAGCCCAAAAGTTTTCCCAATGTTTGACACGATATGAAAATGCCTCTGAAGTGACTCCGGACACTGTGCCACGAGCAGCGTGTCGTCGGCGTAGAGCACGTCATTAGTAACCACATACGGCTTATTCTTGAAGATGCCCGGCTGCGCGTGGAAGTCCTTGTCGACGGCCTCGAGAAGCACCGACATAACGATTACGAACAGATAAGGAGATAAAGGACAACCTTGTGCAATTCCAGCTGGTTGACACTTTTGCGATGATGTTGTTGCCCCATCTTTGACGACAAACTTGCGCGCCTTGTAGATCGCGGCAATCATGTTCAGCATGGCGGGTGGTACTCGGAAGTGGCGGAGTGCGAACAGTAGCCCCGCTGGTCTGATACGATCAAAAGCTTTGCTCCAGTCTAGCAACAGCAGGAACAGTTTACCATTTTTGTCCTCCAGTGCAGCGTCAATGAGTCTTCGCACTAAGAATAGTGCGTCGCTGGTGCCCCGGGCAGGCCGGAATCCATATTGAGATTCTCGTAGTTTTTCTTCAGCGCCTCCAGTCTTGAGTCGGTGTAAAATTAGACTGGCCAAAACTTTATAGCCCACCGCTAACAGGGATATGGGCCTATAGTTGGATGGCTCGGAGGTGTCGCCTTTTTTGAGTATTGATACAACCGAAGCTTCTCGCCAATGCGCTGGCATGTCTTTCTGCCGCCAACAATCGTCACACAGCTGTCTTAATCTCTCTAGGGCCGCGCTGTTCCTCCATAGCGCGTGCCATAGATCAGGGGGTACTCTATCATTCCCGGCCGCTTTCTGCACCTTCAAGCGTTTGACTGCTCGTCGAACCTCTTCCAAATTGATGCTGCCAACGTCGATGGGTAAGAAGCTGCTGTCCTCCGCTAGGTTGGGAAACTGTTCTGCCTCATGACATAATTTCCATTGTTCTTTTTCCAGATAGTTTGCCATCGTTTCGGCTCGCTCCTCTGCGTCAACTAGACTACCCTGGGTATACCGTAGACGTCCGTATTTCATCGGCCGCCCTTTCCGGAGTGATCGAATAGCTTGCCATCCGTTTTGTGTTATTGCTTCTTCCAGCCACGCTTTCCTGTCGGCACGTGCCGAAAGTTGTATCTGCTTGTTGAGGCCTTTGAGGACTTTTGCATCCGCCCCGGCATTTCTACGGCGATTCCGCTCTTCGATAAGATGTAGCGTTCTCGTTGTAATCCACGGCCGGCGCTTCTGCACGGAGATGGTTGGCAGAACATGTTGTGCAGATCCCAGCATGCATGTAGCCACGGATTTTGCCCTGGACTCCAGATCTGTACATGGCGGATTGCTTTCCCAATTGCGAACAAAGGCATCAGCGTATTTATCTGCGATGTCCTTGTTTTGTAGTGTCGTCAGATCTGCTGTGGCTGTTCTTGCTGAGCGTTCCTTTTTGGGGATGTCTACGTCGAGGTCCACTATCTGCACGAAGTGATGCGATTGGAGCGCCCTCCACCGATCGCTCCAGATAGCCGTAACGCTGCTGAACCAACTTCGCTCAACTACGACATGGTCCAACTGTTCGAACCGACCTGGTTGTACTGGTTCTGCTGGATGGGTGCCCAGATCGCGGTAAGTTGCTTTAGCTTCGAGTCCTGCGTCGAAAAATGTATTCGCAACGCACGCTTCCAGGGCACCACACAATTCCAATAGTAATTCTCGGTTTGACGTTGGCTCCCACTTCCCGGTAAGATCTCGAAAGGATAAGGTCCTATGACTTCCCTTTCTCCGGCACGTCGTCGCAGAAGCCTCGCGTTGAAGTCCCCCAGCAGGACGGTTGGCCCATAAGATTTGCATTTGGTGGCGAATGCCGTCAGATCGGTGAAAAAATCGTGCCGGATATCATACGGATGCTCGTTGGTCCAAGCGTATACTGTAATCAACGTAAGAATTCCACCAGATACCCGGAGCCGAATGCTGGCCATTTTGTTGTCCTTTTGTAGGTAACCTTTGACAGCGTGTCTCATCCAAGGTGCCACTACGAACCCGACTCCTGCATATTCTCTGCTGTCGTGCTCCGTCCCAGAAAGAATAAATAAGTATCCCTCGTGTTCCAAAATCTGTGACCCACGGCAATGTGTCTCTTGAAGACACAACACACCGATATTTAATTCTGACATGTGCTTCATTATCTCGTACAACTTGTGTGGCTTCTCCGGGCTGATGCCTTCGACATTCCAGGAGGCAATTCGTCCACACAGTACTGGCGAACATGGAAATGTTACCCATTTGCCAGTACTCGTCGTACTTGTAGTGCCGATGCGCCGTCGTATTTCCTAGTGGTTGCCCTTCTTTCCCTTGCCACTGCCTTTAGCACGCTGGAGGGCCCCATTAGCGCGATCGGTGAGGTCAGACACCTCCGGGCTGTTTGTAAGATCGCCCCAAGCAGCCCATGCTCCACACCACGTAACCTGGAGAGCGGACCCGGCGACAAGTACGTGACACACAGGTTCTTTGGCTACTTTGAGCTTCTGTTCCAGAGTATCCACACGTACCTCGCTTTTGGAATAACCCCATCCCAAGAATGTCTTACGCAAGCTGAACAAGAAGCTCTCTGGGACCCTTTTTTCCAAAGGTTGGTCTGGACGCGTCCAAATCACATTTCCTTGATGTTTCAATTGAGCTTTCCCCAGGACTGTGACGAATGTGTCCCGGGCAGTGGCCGTGTCAAACTTTGCGAAGAAGATCTGCTGGAACGCGTCGCCTTTGATAAAGGTCTCCTTAGGCTCCGGAGCTCTGAAATGAAGCGCCTGTTCATTGATCCATGCAGACGCGTCGCGCAAGGTATCGAAGTTACCCAATGCACCAATGACAGCATTGCACTCATACTGCTTGTTCGTGGTGAGTTCCGCCATTTGGCGCTCGATCTCATTGAGTTTCGCCTCAACTGTGGAAGCCAGACTGCGTGCGGAACCAGTCGCAGAATCAGCATCTGGACGATGTGGAAGCGACTCGAGAACGGCAACGCGCGCGGTGATGTCATCGACAGCTGTCTTCAAAGGCTCCACCGCGTTCCGCAGGTCTTGTTGCGAAACGCCATGCTGCTTGATCGCACGAATATCGTTCTGGATTGGTTGAAGCTGGTCTCGCAATATTTGCTTAAATTGCTCAACTGTTAGGCCATCCGTATCGTTGCCCGATTGTGAACCTGCGGCTGCGGCAAGGTCATCGTCGGATAGTTGTTGAGGTACGGCTTGAAGATCGTCCAGGCCATCCATCTCATGTAGTGGACTGTGGATGCGATGTTGCTTTGCTCTACCAGCAGGGGGCTGCAAAACGTCCTTGACGGGGGTGCCGGCTCTGCGAGTTTGTTTTGTCGTCGGCGGAGGCGAAGCAGCCTGTTCCAACTCTCCATCCAACTTGAGGGGAACACGAGAAGCCATGA